ACTACCACTACCACTACTACTGCCACGACGACGACGGCGACGACGAGCAACGTTATTACCAGCAGCATTACTAAGCTATTGCTGCTGTAGCTGTAGGTGCGCTGGTCGTAGTATTCGAAGTTGTCTTCGTCGGACTAGGAATAGCAGTAGAACTACATCAACCAGTACTGCCGCCTCTCATGCTTGCGCTCATGGTTCCACTTTTGGTACTGCCGCTGCTAGGGTACGGCGACTACTGATGCTGTTTGGAATATGCTTCCGACTATTGCCAAGGGCAGTCTTAAGCTAATGAGCAAAGCACCATTGCTGCTCGGAGCGGGGATACCGTTTTCCCCTTGAAGGAGCCCTAAACCCTAAACCCTATACTACCAGTATAGAAACCTTATTGAACCCGTATAGAACCCAAATAGAAACCTAGTTGCCTTGCTAAGCTCTCCGACGGACGAGTCCACGCTCTTGAGCCGGGTTTCATGGCCTGGGCTCTGCCGAAGCAACTTTCGGAAACCGAGAGGCCTCAAAAATTCGAATAGGATTCCTTGAAACGGTCCCTTTTATAGGGATCTGCAGGGGCTCTATTAGGGATGTATTGCATAGGGTCTTTTCAGTGCGGACTTACCACGTGCCCCCTTGCTCTTCCTATTCTTGACATTGCTGCTGCGATCATACCACTACTACAGTCTGTACTAGAATAGAAATAGATAGCGCTTGTCAACATGAATATTATGGATGATTATGGACTGTTATGACAAGTTGTGGTTCTTATGAACGATTGTGAGTATTCTGAATAATCATGGTTAGTCTGACTCGTATGATTATGGTGATTATTATGATTGCTACTAGAAAGAGCGCTCTTAGCAGCATCGTGGGCGGCCACGACAATTGCTACTACGACGACGACGACGACGACCACGCGTGACTACTATGATGGTGACGATAATTTGGTGAGGTGATTGCTATGCATGATATTTGCGATTTACGACTACTGGGACAACGGCCACCTAAACCCTAAACCCTAAACCCTGAATCTTGTAGCGCCTCTTTACCCTCTGCTTGTGCTGAAAGGAAGGCCCAGAGCTGAGCCGCCAGCGCTCGATCATGTTCTTCATGTCCTTAGGAAACCGGGCGAAGAGTTTCCACAGCGAAGTCACGTGACACCGGCTCTTCATCATAAGTAAGACTGCAGCGTGAAATTGCTGCTTACTGGAGGTCATGGTGCTGTTGGCCTCTTTCATGAGTACCTCAAACCGAGGATGATAAACGGCAGGCAATGCTACGACGAGCAGACACTGCCCAGGGCACCGATTGGCGCTGAAACATGTCATTGTTCTGAGACGCCGTTTCCTCCCGCATCGCCTGACGCAGATCTTCGCGGGCCCCGATGCCCGGCAGGAAACAACTCCAACAAAAGTCTGGCAGCTTAGCTAGGTCTTGTGCCTATCAAGAGGATCATGTATCCTAAACCAGGCTTTTTCACAAGTTCTAGACACACTCCACACCACGAGCCCTTGTGGCGGCTTATATCATGACAGCTCCATCATCGGAACGCCTGACCCACATACTCCACTCCCCAACACTCAACAACCTGAACCCTAAACCCTGAACCTCAAACTCAGCCCTCGACCTTACACCTGACGCTCTAAACTATAAACATCGAAACTCTCCAGCCTTCAACGATACCCTAAACCCCTAAACCCAATGCCCCTAAACCCAATAGACCCCAAAGGATCAACCCTGTGCCTGCATTTTGGCGGTGTGCTTCTGGTCATTGTGCGACACCTGCACTTCCAGCCTCACAAGCTCTTCATGGGCGGGGTTTCGAAGGGTGTGTTTATATTTAAAGGGGGGGGGTGAAGGGTCTTTTTACATTTAAAGGGGGGCTTTGAAGGGTCTGTTTATGTTTAAAAGGGGGTTTTGAAGGGTCTGTTTAAAGGGGGGTTTTGAAGGATCTGTTTATGTTTAAAGGTCTGATCCGGATATTATTGGACTGGAGGTATGGACCTCGTTAACTAGAGTGGGATGTCGGGGGGGTACATCGCACTATGCCGTATTTGCACTAGAAAACCCCAAGAAATCATGAAACAGGTACTTCAGACTCCAACAAAGCTGTCGGAGCTTGAGGCGTTGGGTTTGACAGGGGTTTGGGATTCAGGGTGTGTAGACTCTCGGGTTTTGTACCCAAAACCCTAAACCCCGAACCCC